GAGGAAGAAGAAAAAGACAAAAAAGAAAAGTGGGAAATTCCTGGTCCAGGGAACGTGAATACCAAAAGTTGATAAAAGGACTTCTCCATTCTACAGGGGTGGAGGTTAAAGACAAATTGTTGGGAGAATTATTTGCACATGTACAGCAACATTGTTATTGGTTTTAAGACCAAAAAAAGGTTAAATTGAATTCGCGAGCATAGCAACAAGTAGTAAAAACATTATGCACTGCTCATCAAGGGGGACAGACTATGAATTTAAAGCTATGGTCTTTGTGTAATGTTATTACCCAAGCTTTACAGTTATTAGAGACAGACTCGGAGAAAGGTGAAGAAAGTGATAAAGACAGGAAAGAGAATGGAATCCAAAGGGAGGAAGAGGAGTATGCAGAAGTAGCTGAGGAGGAATTAGGTCCAGAATTAGCAAAGAAAGAATCGGATAATGTGGGAGAAGGGAATGATGTTCAAGAGCTTATAGGATTGCTAAAATAAATGCTTAAATGTCATTCTGCTAACAGCCCTTTAGCTGATCCAATGCCCAGAGCTACTTTCACTTTCACATGGCAGAATCACGGGGAGGAGAAGGACAAGCTGGCTCCCAATCCAGGAATAATAGCTTTTCTCATATCAGAGATTGGCAGGGATCTGCGGAACTGCATAACAAGCGGAGTTGTTTGCAGAGGCTGTAGCTGGTGCTATGATTGGTGGAAAGCGCTCCGTCTGCTAAAATCAGTGACAGGCGCTGGAGGACTCTGCAACCTTATCTCATTTTCATAAGCCTAAAAAAAAAAAGGGGGGGGGGTGTTCCCCTCCTAAACCAATATTTTATAGAACCATAGAAGGAGAGATTTTCCAATGGGGTTGAGGGTTTGCCAGATTCCGGAGCTTAGTGGTTGTCAACCCGACTTCTGAAACGGAGAGATGGCTAAGAAGTTCCGCACTCAGAAGTTTCTGCAAGAGTTCTTGGCTATGCTGGCCCTGCTGTCTGTTCAGTAGCTCATCTTCTAGCGGAGACTGAACACATGATTATGGACTGGGGAATTGTTAATCCTAAAGGAAAGGGCGAGATGGAAAAGATGCATTTTTCCAAAGGATGGGTGCCGAGAATTTTAACCAGTGATCAAGGAGGGTATCAACCTACCGTGTGGAAACTTAGGGCTGCACTGGGAAGTTTAAAATATACACATGGAAGAGAGATGGAAATCTTTACAATTGTTGCTTGTGTTCCTCCTCCATATGTAATGGTGGGTTTTACAACTATTAAACAATTGTGGGAGGATCAAAAGAGTAATGAAAGATATGAAATTAGCTGTACAAATTTTATTTCTTAAAAGGATGCACATTATGATGTTGTCATATTACATCAACCTGGTTTTGTAATGTTGCCTGTGAATGTGACTGGAAGTTGGTATCAGCATTCTGGGCTGGAAGTTTTAAAACAGCTGCGTGGATTAATGAATAGACCCAAATGGTCCATAGGAAAGTTGATAGCAGGAATAGTAACGGTGGTGGTTTTAGTGGCCACAGCTACCACTGCCCCTGTTGCTTTGACACAGGAAATCCATACAGCACAATATGTAGATGCGTTGGTTAAGAATGTCAGCATAGTTTGGGGAGCTCAAGAAAGAATAGACAGGAAATGGGACAAAGATGAGGTGTACTGGCACAAACATTATTGTTGGTAGTGATGAAGGAGCCAGCTTGAAAGTTATAGCTGGCCTACAATGTCACGCGGAATTTGATCATATTTGTGTTACTCCAAAAGTCTACAGTTCATCTCATTGGGATTGGGAAAGAATTAGGATGCACTTACTTGGTATTTGGCGTCATTCTAATATGTCTTTGGATATTGCAAAATTGCATAAAGAAATAATGGCTATATCTAGTGCTCAGGGACCTTTATTATTGCCCTCTTAAGTAGTGGGAGAAATTTTTGACATCTTGAAAGGATGGTTTCATCATTTTCACAGTCTAAATATGTTTGTTATGGCTGCCATGATATTTGGATTAATTTGTCTTATTCTTTGTCTTCTACCAGTCGGCATCCGAGCCTTTGGAACCTCAATAAGAGCCTTGCAATCTCCTGTACATAAACTTCATTTAAAAAACAAAGAAGGGGGAGATGTTGGGGGCTGGCTCTTTACAGGCAAAGTCTGAGCGGTGGAGAGGACACGGCACAGCCCTGAACTCTACCCTTCATTACCTCTGGCATATTAAGCGTTAAGGAGTTCATGTCCAGTCCTTTGAGTTTGTTTTGTAGAGAACAGCGTGTGCAGAGTTCTGCTAGATAAGGAACTAGGAGGAGAAGGGAACGTTTTTGCTACAGAAGGTTCTTTAGTCATTCTTAGATTAGAAAAGTACCGGAACATCTTAGCTTGACTAAACACTTAGGTTTACTGTACCCTGCTTCCTGATACTGATGGTATATATATCTGCTGGCTAAAAAAATAAATTTGCTGGTTGCTGCATTTGCACCAGTCCCCCTAACCCTGTTGTTTGTCTTTCTTAGTAATCCCACTCCACCTCTGCCTGTGTAAACCCTCTGCCGGTGCGGGTCACCGCAAAAGTGGACTAGGCTTTGGGCTGCGAACTATAAGGTCAGCAGTTAGCAACCACCAGTCACTCCTCGGGAGACAGATGGAAACTTTTTGCTCCCACAAAGACTTATAGCCACAGAAAATCACCTGGGCACTGCTGATCTGTTCTATAGAGCTTCTTGTGAGCCAGAATTGACTCAATGACTGTGAATTTGAAGTTTGAGTTTCACTATCATCATCTGAGGAGGGGCTCGTGATAATTTTGAACTCAGATGCACCTAATGCAATGCTTATTTTGTAACTGAGGAGAAACAACAACCACCTTAGAAGGATATGTAATCTCCCAATAATCAGAGCTACCACGACCTAGTTTTGTAAGCATTGTCGTAATGTAAACTAATCACTGTTGTTACTCATGGTCCTTCTATTTTCTTATATAAGTTCCCTAAATGGTCACTTTCTTGCATCTTTTAGTTTATAGTCCTCAGGACCTTGTGACCCCCAGCTTGCAAACTGTCTGGCCTCTCAGTACAAGTCATTTATTTTCACTTTCAATTAGCTTGCCATGTTGCTCCGTGTTCCAGTCTACTCCAACACGTGCAACCTCATGTACAGCCGAATGAAAAGCCGCCGGTCCTTCTTCATCTTCATGAGTATGCTTGCACCACTGGCTGCGGCTCCTGGGACAGCCCATCTCGCAGAGGATTTTCCTGTTTCCGCTGACCCTTTGCATTGCCAAACATCATGTCCTTTTCTAGAGCTTGTTCTCTCCTGATGACGTGTCCAAAGTTAGGAGAGCAGAAGTCTCACTGTCCTTGTTTCTCAGGAGCATTCTGGTTGCATTTCTTCTAAGACCGATTTACTAGTTCTTCTGAAGGGCTACTGTGTTTGCAGTATTCCTCGCCAACACACATATACTCTCCCGTTACTGGTGACCTGAGTGTGCTCCAGTTCACCTTTCTCACCCCATTTAGTTGTCCATTTCATGTTTGGGGTTGGAAAATGTGGATTAGGAGGTTTGAACACTGTGCGTGTGAATAGTCAACTTTATGTTTTGGTTTCATGGCCCATTGCCGACAACCTCTGTGTTTGTAGGGGTCCTCAAACTTTTTGAGGGCCAGTTCACTGCCCCACAGACGCATTGGAGGGCCGGACTAAAGTTTTTAAAAAAACTATGAACAAATTCCTATGCACACTGCACATATCTTATTTGGAAGTAAAAAAAAACAAATGGGGCAAAAACACCTGGCGGGCCAGATAAATGTCCCCAGCGGGGCCTTAGTTTGAGGACGCCTGATTTAGAGAATCCCTACTGGGCATTTAGAGACAAGTGATGAAAAGATCCAGTATGTCCTTCTGGGGATTGTAGGTAAATGAGCCAACAACTTAAATAGAGGTATTTTCACTTAAACGGTCAAGTAACTTTTGCAAAATTGTTTTTATTTTGTCTTCAAAATAGCATTCAAAATACAGGGAATCCAGGACGGATGAGGCCTATAGGGTCAGTGGTGTGAGTGGCAAAACGGGGAGGGTGAAGGGAGAATGGGTGGGGAAGAGGGAACCAATTGCATGGAACTGTGTGTGACCTCCTCCCTGGGGGACAGACGGCCAAAAGGTGGATGAAGGGAGACGACGGACAGGGCAAGATATGACAAAATACCCATTTATAAACTATCAAGGGCTCATGAGGGAGGGGGGAGCGGGGAGGGAGGGGAAAAATGAGGACCTGGTGTCGGGGGTTTGAATGGAGAGAAAATGTTTTGAGAAACGATGTACAAATGCGCTTTGCACAATTGATGTGTGTATGGATTGGGATGACAGTTGTATGAGCCCCAATAAAATGTTAAGAAAAAAAAAATAGCATTCAAGGTCAATTCAATTGGACTCTGCTATAGTTTTCTTGCTGTTGCATCTCGTCAGAGGGGTCAGAGGAAACGGAAGTTCCCGAAGGCAGAATTAGAATATAGACTATTTCTTCATATTATCGGTGCAGTCGATGGGAATCAATTAAATCTTGACAAATCAGTTCAGTTCCCTGGGCCGTAGTCTCCAATATGCTAAACGAGAATTGCAATGACAATTCACAGAGTAAATAAATGTGTTCGCGTTGGTGCATGTGCACAGGTCTGTAAGGCTTGAAGCAAGAGCAAAGCTGTACAAACTTTTAGTAGTATGACGTCAAGATAGTAGGAGCAACCAGTGCGCACGCGCATATTTAAAGAGCCGGCGTGCTCTCGAGAGCCGCTTAGCACCGCCCTCATCCTCGCATTGCTCCGCCTCGGTTTCCCAGGGACCGTTCCGCCACGCCCCCTGGAACGCCAACCGCCAATCATCGCCGGCGTTTCCCGGGCCGTCATTGGTGCGTGCCCTGGTTTCCAAAGTTGGGAGGCGGGCGCCTGCGTTCGCGCACGCGCTAGTTTCCGCTTTCTCCACGCTGGTTCCGCGTCCCTTCGGTAGTTCACCTCCGCCTGGCCGGAGGGGTACTTTGCTTCGGGGCGTCTGTCACCGACGCCGCGATGGGTAAAACTGCTGCCTCGTTAGATCCGGGAGCCCGGCCCGACCCGGTCCGGAGCTTCAATCGTTGGAAGAAGAAACACAGCCATAGACAGAGCCAAAAGAAACAGCTGAGGAAGCGACTGAAAAAGCCCGAGTGGCAGGTGGAGCGCGAGGTTATCAGCCGCCTGATGCAAAACTACGAGAAGGTGAGGCGGGCCGGGCCCGGCGCTGGGAGGGGGCTTGCGGCGGGCCTCTGTGTTGCTGCGGCGACGGGCTGCATAGGGGAAGGGCGGACCTGCCACTGAGCACCTGTTCTGGGGAGCATGCTGATAATCACTGGGCAGGAGGAGGGAGAGGGCTTGCAGGTGTCCTGCGGGACCTGTTGAGGCGCCCCCTCCCCCCTGAAAGATCTGCAGGGTATCACAGCCCCGGCATCCGTGCTTGCATGCCATTTTCCTGCTCACCTCACTGTAAGTGATAAAATGCTGCGGATTTGTTCCTAGTAGCCGTGAGTTCAAGTGATAACTGCATGGGTAAATTCATTTGAAACATCACTGCAATGTGGCAATGGTAGAGCTCCCAGCTCAGCCTTCTTGGGTCTATCAGTTCCTCTGCTTCTCCTTCGCTGTAAATCCCATGTCTGTTGGCCCACATTCCCCTCACGCAGCCGGTCAGTGAATACCCTCTCCTAGCACAGTGTAACCAGGGATTTAACATGTGGATCATTCATGGAATTAAACTCATCACTTGCTCTGGCAATTTCCTTTAAGTGACTACCCTCGTAGTAAGATTATGTAGAATTTGGGGCTTACGCGTTTGCTTTGGGCTCTGGAGTGAAGATAAGATTTTAATTCCAGCGTTTGCTTATCAGGTGAGTGACTTTGGGTAAGTTACTGCTTCTCTGTGCATCTGTTTTGTTGTTTTTTTTTTGTCTTTAAAGGTAAACGAACTTTACATTTTTTAAATCGTTTTATTAGGGGCTCATACAACTCTTATCACAATCCATACATACATCAATTGTGTAAAGCACATTTGTACATTCTTTGCCCTCATCATTCTCAAAACATTTCCTCTCCACTTAAGCCCCTGGCATTAGGTCCTCATTTTTCCCCTCCCTTCCCGGAACTTTACATTTTGTGCTGTAGGGAGATAAAAGCCTTTCTGCATAATGCCTGGCAAGTAGTAATGATTCAGTATACCTTGGTTTAGGTCATCTTGTGTGGATCACTGTAGTAGCTTATGCTTCTGAGAGGAACCAGCAAGTTTTTTTACTGTACAGGTCTAGGTAGTAACTAATTTTGACTTTGTAGATCGTTGGGTTGGGACTGTCGTCCTAGGGTGGTGCAGACGGCTAACTTGCTTGGCCGTTAAAGGATGTGTTGGAGGTTGTAGTGCCCAAGAGACACGTAGGAAGAAAGGCCTGGTGAGGTGCTGTTAGAGTAGAACTGTGCTCTGTACGATTTTCAAGGGTTCGTTTTTCAGAAGTAGATCACAAGGCCTCTCTTTTGAGGTGCCTTTGGGTGGACTCCTACAAGGAGCTTTAGTGGCGTAGTGGATTATGATGTGGCCTGCAAGGGCAGGAGTTGAACTCACCAGTGGCTCCAGGGGAAAATGATGAAGCTTCATACTTCTGTAAAGATTTATAGCCTTGGAAACCTATCAGGTGTGGAGCGACGAGTTAGCAGTCACCTGCTTACCCTTGAGCCACAATGGCCCCTTCATCATAGACTTCTTAATCTTACTGGAAAGTCAGGACAGGAGATGGGGTAGATATCACTTTAAGACCCTCTTAGATATCTTATAACCCTCTCTGATAATACCCATTTCTCATGAAAGTGAGTAATGTCTTTGCATCCTGAAGGAGGAACAAATCTGCTTTGGAAGAAGTGCCACCAGAAAATTCCCTAGAAGCGAGCATGGAAGACTTTATCTGATGTTCTTTGGACAAGTTCTCAGGAGAGACCCTTACCTGGAGAAGGATTTCAGGGTTAGTGAAGTAGAAGGTCAGCAAGAGAAAGGAAGACCCTTCACTAGGTGGATTGACACAGTCGCTGCAGTAGTCCACTCAAACACGAGCCTGTGAGGCTGGCAGCAGGACCTGGCAGGGTATCATTCGTACCAACTCCACCGCACAAACCAACATACTGTATATACTTGAGTATAAACCGATCCGAATATCAGCCGAGGCACCTAATTTTACGACAAACACTGCATTAAAAATGTGTTGAAAAGCTCAGCTTATACACGAGAATATATAGCAATGCTTCAGCTACTGCAATTAAGAGAAAAACCATTTGTTTCAAGTCACAGCAGACTAAATTGTGATTAAGGAAAGAATCAGAACTGGGATAATTGATGGTCTGTTCTATTCTGTCCCTGGCCCTTGTTCTTACTGATGATGTTGACTTTCTCCACAAATGCAGTGGTTTGATTCCTGTGAGGTACATGTGTGGAGTCATTTATGTAGTTGAAAACAGGTAGTTGCAATGAATAAGTTGCTATTCTTATAAAATCCTGTCAGGTGCACTCTGGCATGATTTCTATCATTACCAGGTGCCATTCCTTTCTGTTTGAACTTTCGTGTTCCGTTCACCAGTACTCATCAATGTATCCTGATTGCATGTGCGATCAATTACAGACTGCAGAAATTGGTAAAAATCTTTAATTTCTTCATCTCTAGCATTATCTTTGGTGTATAAGCTTGACTAATAGTTGTATTAAATGGTCTTTCCTTATAGTTCAAGATAGTTCTCGAATGATGATGAATGTGACCCCGTTCCTTGTTTTTCAACGCAGCGTAGTAAACCACATGACTCCAATTGGCCAGTTTTCTCCGGTTAACAGCCTATTCACACAGATTCCAGGAGTTAGAATGCAGACATTTTAGGAAAGCTATTACTGTGCCTACCATAGTCTCCAAAGGCCGTCATGTTCCAAGTCCAACCCTCTTCTCCAACTTCATCTGAAGCCAATTCAGGGTCACATGCAACAACCCAAAAGACATTTCCCCCCACTCAAAGAACATCATGTATTTTTGTGTCTTTTTTTAGATTTTTCTCAAGTTGTACTTCCCACCTAGAACATCCTTGCCAAAATTTTCCATCTGGTGACCTCATCATTCAGGAGCTAACTCCACCCATGGCTACCACAAATTGCTGTATCCTATGTGCACTGCAAAAGGCATCAGATAAGGCCGAGATGTGCAGAACAATATCCAGCTTGCCCTCAGGTCTCCAGGTCAGGCCTGAGGCTGCAACCACAGAAGGAAGGGGAATTCTCAGGGAAAACGCGGAGCATAGAAGGAGTACTTTATAAGATAACTTATCTTCTTTTGCTCTGACTCCCTAGCACTAAAAATACTTAGTATTAATGTGTCACTTTTTACCAACCCTAGTCCATGCTTTTAGCAGATAGTTTTATGAGAACAAGGGTTATGTGTTTTTTGTTTTTAAACCTGGACAAAACTCAGCCACATTCTTTGCCACTGAGTTAATGCCGACGCATAGCAGCAACCCTGTAGGACATGGTAGAACTGCCCTCTGAGTTTCTGAGGCTATAACTTTTTAGAGGTAGAAAGCCCTGCCTTTCTCCTGTAGAGGCTGGTGGTTTCACACTGCGGACTTGGTGGTTAGAAGCCCATTTTATTTCTTTTTTAAAAATCATCATATTGGGGGCTTGTTCAGCACTTACCACCATCCATACATATATCCGTTGTGTCAAGCACATTAGCCCATTTTCATGGCCATTAAGTCACCAGGGTTCCCGGCCCTTGATGGAGACCTGGTGGCGTGGTGGTGATGTGTTGTGCTGCTCACCACTAACTCTTTACTTTTATAAAGTTCTCTTTACTCTTATAAAGTTACAGTCTTGGAAACCCACTGGGGAAGTTCTAGTCTGTCCTATAGGGTCAACTTGGTGATAATGGGCCTTAACAGGTACCTGTCAAATTGTTGAAATTCAGATGTTTCTTAGTCAACATTTTCAGTCTCTCACCCATAAGACTAGTGAATAACACAGGTGAACCATGGTTTTGTAATAAAAAAAATTGTGCATAGATGCTACCACCCAAAGAGCCATACAGTGAATAGGGTACAAAATCCCTCGATGACCCAGAGATCAACAAATCTAGAAGTATAATCTAGTATTTCTAGCCCTGGGGTATTGGTGTGGCACTGCATTTTTTAAAAAAATCTCCCCACACCCCCTTGTTCTTTCAATTCTACAATCTTACTACCTGCCATGAGTATTTGTGTTTTACAAAAAGCAGTTTAAGTGTTGTCTAAAAGAGGTGCCCTCTTCAATTATGTTTGTTTCTTTAATTCTGTTTGTTTGTTTGCCTTCATTCCACCACACATTGAGAAAGAGAGCCAGCACTACATGGACCGAGACCATGGCCACAGTGGCGGTGCAATTAATAAAGCTGTCCCAACTGGACATGCCCATCAAAATGATAAACCAAACTCACTGCTGTTGAGTTGATTCGACTCATAGCAGTCTTATAGAACAAGGTAGAACTGCCCCTTTGGGTTTCAGAGACTATAATTCTTTATGGGAGTAGAAAGCCACTCTCCCCAGGAGCTGTTGGTGGTTTCAAACTGCTGACCTTGTGGTTACCCACTGCCACCAGAGCACCTAGGACATGCCCAAGACGCCATCAAATATGTGCGACTTACAAAGCTATGGTTAGGGGTATGAATATAGGGGTGCACTTATGAAATATATTAATCTATAAAAATAGAGGTATTGGCCTATGTACATATATTTATATGGCCATAAATTGAGGAAGTGGATGGCCTTTAGGCCTCTGCTCAAGCTCTTCCTCAATGTAAGAACACTTTGTTCTAACAACCTGGCATTCTGTGATGCTCACCCTCCCGACACAGTTACTGAAGACAAAATGGGTATGTAAGCATATGTGGTGAAGCTGATGGTGCCTGCCTATCAAAAGATAGTGTCTGAGGTCTTAAAGGCTTGAAGTTAAACAAGCGACTATCTAGCAGAGAAGTAATGAGCCCACTTGGAAGAAGCACTCCAGCCTTGTGTGATTATGAGGTGTCAACAGAATCAGGTAACAAGCATCAGAAGACCCCAAACACCACATTTTTGAGAATGAGGGGGGTGAGAGCAGAGACCCCAAACCCATCTGTAGACAATAGGACATTCCCTCGCAGCAGGGTCACAAGGAATGAGTCAACCAGGGCGCAGT